CTTCATTCTTTACAAATAAAAGCGCCATCACATTTGCAACGAAACGGCATAACAATCACGTGAGTGTGTAAAAAGTTAACATTGTGGAGAATAATATAAAAGCCAGCAGCTAGCGGCAAAAAAAACTCAGAGAAGATGAAATCTGCTATCGTGAAAATATTGCTGATCACTGTGTGTGTTAGCGGGATCGATGGTAAGTAACCCGCTGATATGTAGAAAATTATTTTACATTACCAGCACAAGATACACAGAGTTGTAAAGACGTTGTCGCATCGAATGAAGTGCAGAAGGTCACCGTATTGGGCAGTGGCAACGGGTGTCAGTACCGCGTCAAATCGGATTCCGGTAAAGCGGTGAAGGTGTACGTTAATGTAAGTGAACAATNTAATTCAGATGAATTTAATTGAGACAGTGGAAGAGAAATATTGTTGATCTTTGCAAAACATTTCCTATGTTTACAGGCAACGAGTGGAGCGAAATGTGTGAAGGTGTCCAGTGATGGGAAATCAGAAACGCTGTGTCCATCAGGTGTAACAAATCAGTTCGTGTCCAGCTCACCGATTGAAGTGAGTGCGAATTCCGACACAACTACTTCAGAGGCCACAGCGACCGAACAAACCGAAGTACCGCCGGAACCGATCACACAACCTACAGAACAAACTGGAGGAAAAACTTCGGAAGATAAATCGCAGAAAGATCCATCGTCCAGACTGCCGGATTCAGAATCGCCAGCAGCAGTGGAAGAACCAAGACTACCGTTGAAGAATGATGCACGACAAAATGTCGAATTAGGAAATAATGACAAACAACCCAAGGTAGAAACCGCTGCGCTGAGTCCTGCGCTTTTGAGAAAAGTCAGAGCTCCTTCGGAGACCAATGGACCTGACGACGTAATCGTGTACTACGTATTAGGTGAGCAGAGAATGAGTAGTACATATCAGTCAATGCTTAACACAAGAAATTGCTCGAAGCATACTTTTTCTCTATTTATTTTGTTTCGCGAATCTTATTGGAAACCTATTGATATTCATTTCTGTCCCATCCTGCCCTATCCTAGACGGTGTATCTACGTCGAATCCTCCAGTATTGCTCATTTTTGAGCTTGTTGCTCTTCTTATCAATGGCAGTATATAGTGAGTTGCTAAATGTATTTTGTTCCATGTTCGTACGATGAATTTACGTTCTATAACTTTTCTTTTAGTAGTTAGTTTATATAATCAACACGAGCAATGAAACAATGTGATTTTTATTTGAATTTTACAGATTACCTTTACACACGGTCTACGTACAACTCATTCAACGAAGCAATGAACTATCATGCACCCACAATTTATTTTTGATATACATAAAATATGTGTATAATAATGCTCTCCATGGGTCTTTTCATGGGGGCTCAACGCACATATCTGAATATGGAAAGGTGCTTAAGCTAACGATAATCGAACACTACTTTTCAATTCTATCTATGTTCCCATGTTTAAACGAATGCAGTTTGGCGAAACCAAACAGCTAGTTTTTGAATGTGGCCTCCAAATTAAATGCGTCAGATACAACGTGAATGAGACAATAAGTTATTATACGTGGGAAGTTAGTAAATTTGAAATGTGTTCAACCAGTGAAAGTAGCGTTTAGTTGTTTAACTGCAAAACCGACGTCCGTCAAAATAAAAGTTCATAGTTAAACAAAGTACACTTTTCCGTAAGGAATGCGACCAAATGTTGAAAAATAAGATAATGAAGGTGCATATTCTCGAAGCATTTGAGCTTGCAGCTAGCGAGAGGGAAGGATCAGCCGCCAGGAGAAATATGTTTAACTCACACCAACATCACTTGACGTTAGACGTTTGACCCATATCGTACCAGTGAAAATTGAGTTGCTAAATAAAATAAATCAAATACAAAAGATAAATTGCAATAAGCATACTTCTGCAACAATCAACAATTGGTTCTAAAGAAAATCATATTCCAATTATTCTCAATTAGTCAGCGCCATCAGCTTGCACCTATGTGCCTTTTTAACTTGATGGACCGATGTAATTCTCCTTTTGGGCATTTTCTGAACAAGAACTCATATATCTGGTCAGATAGCTAAGCATTATCTTCTTTGGTGTCTCACCTTTATGAAGCTTGAGTCTTTATATCGATGAATCATACAAAACACGTCCTCAGGGGACCACCGTTGCAATTAATGATCACCATTCCATCTGACAGTACTTCAGCATAATCCCAACATATACATGTGCTCATTTCCAAAGGCATAGTTGAGAAGGATACGTCTCAAACGGCTTTCATATTTTCCAGGGTGAAATAACTAGCAGGGCAGAATATCACTTTGTTTTCTGTTTACCCATTTCGACAACAATTACGGCAATACTTTACCATTTATGTTGTTTTCGTCTTCAGAACTTGTGTTCACCTCGGTGCTAAATTATCTTTCATGCACATAAAACTTTGTTGTCTGTGAACGACATACTTCAGTGTGGCGTATTTCGTTCAATGATAAATCAGGGATTTCCAAATTCATCGGGACGAACGCTCAGTGATGACGTTTTGGATATATCTGTTTCCCTATTTCAACCGTCTCATCCCAGCATGTTCTGTATACAAACAGGAAAACCCCTAACGGATCCAAGACATGCAGCCAAATTAACACGAGTTTGGTCAACACCTGTACAAATAAGTTGTTCATGAACGCAACACTTCAATGTTTGACATTTGGTAATATGATAAATTAGAGATTTCCAAAGCCATCGAGGCAAAGGCTCACCGACGACTGTTTGGTTATACCTTTTTGACCATTTCAACAGCCCCATGTTAGCAAGATGGATTTCACTAACGAACGTTAGACATGCAGCCAAATGAACACAAACACATGGGATAATATCTAAGAGACAAGGGTAAACCGAATAGTTGTGTCAAAATGAACTGATCGGCTTTTATCCAACGAGTGGAANGAGTGGAAAAATGTCGACCACATTGTGATGGCTGGATCTCTGGAATTTATGAAATTACTCTAAAATAATAACATGACTGTAGGCGGTTACAACAGATGACTTCTACGATTATGAACCTCAACCATGGTATTTGTCGATGTTTCTTACGCAACAATCCTCATTCTGAAAACTAGTAGCCTTTTTAACCAAAGAGATTGACTGTGTTCTGTTTCGTTCAGTTCTGTGGGTTGAGCCAGACATTTTTGAGCTACACCTAAGGTATAACTGGTTTTGGTTGCTAATCCCTTGATAAGAGCCAGCCAAAGTTCACCAAAGTTCACCTCAACGATTCCAACCTCTGTCACGAAACAAATATTGTTATTCAAATACATCCATCATTCACGTACG